AATACAGCTAGATGGGAAGTGCTACATCAAGCTTTAACTATTCTGTAAAAGGAAGTCCCTAACAAGGCTACTTGTAGTCCAGTGCATCACACCTACAACAATAAAGCAATAGTGAAGGACTGCTAAAACCTTTTCTTTGAAAGCACAGACCTATTATGTTGTAGCGAGCTTTAAGTTTAAAGCTCTGCTGCTAGACAACAAAACCGAAAGTCTTGTGGTAAAGACACAAGAGTGACTCGAGGGCCAACCTGACGAACAAACACCCGCCGCAGCACGCCCGTGACCGAGGCGCTACCCGCCGCCCTCTCTCCCCACCGCAGGGCCACAAGGCACAAACCCGATCCCACCGGCCAGCAAAGTTGTACCGAACATCCCAACAGCGGCGCCTCAGTGGCTTCCCGGAGCCCGCCTGCTGCCTCGGCGAATGGGGGCAGCCGCAAGCTCCCGCTGCTCCCCGGCGTGCCGGGGCACTGCCGGCTCCCACAGCGGGACGAGGCAGCAAGGGGACAGCGCCTGGAAGAAAGCGCCGAGGACAGCCCGCGGCCGCACCGCAGCCGGCCCCACAAGGCCTTGCCGCCACCGGAGCCCCCGAGGAAACTACACACCCTCCCAGGTGCCGGCCCCACCCGTGAGGCGGAGGGCGCCCGTGCGCACGCATACCTGTGTGTCGGGAGCGGGAAGACCGCGCACGTAGCCGTTGCGGAGCGTGCCGTGGCCGGCGCCGCTGCAGCCGTTAGCGCGGGGATGTGCATCCTCCGCCGCCACCACCGCAGCCCGCCCGGGCCGCTCCATCCCGCCGGCTCCGCTGCGCCCGCTCCGCCACCCCCGCCCGGCCGCTCCGTACCGCACCGGAAGCGCGAGCTGCCGCCTGCCCCAATCACCGGCAGCTACGTCACGCTCAGGGATGGGCTCTGTAACGACGCATAGGCGCGCGTGCGAGGCTAGCGGCGGACGCCAGGGACAGAGGGCGGGGCCCAGAGGACGGAGCCCAATGAGAGCCTCGCATGCCAATCAGGTGGGAGGGGAGTGGGATGAAGGAAGGGGTTTGTCCAATTGCAAAGCGGAAAGTTCGGAGGAAGGTGAAGCCAGAAGGTGAACGTTGTCCAATCGCTTGGCAGAGATGGAACCGGGAACGAAGAACCGGAGATAAGATAGCCAATCACAGCGCGAGGCGAAGGGAGGGGCACAAGCGAGCAGAGGGGTCCGTCCAATGACCGGAGGGAGGGGCAAGGTGATGGCTGAGGTAGCAGCCAATGGGAGAGTGCCGTGGCGGGGCTCGAGGAGGCAGGGCGTGGTTGGAGTGGTTGCGTGGGGGGGATACCAGCGGCCGCGCTGAGGGCAAGGTCTGTTTCTGGTGGCTCCGGCTGGGGTGCCGGACGCCGAGCGTGTGAGGGAGGATCCTGGTGCGCCCGTAAGCGCTTTTCCTTGCGTCAACAGCGGTGCGGGCTGGTGCCGTTTACGTGACTGGAGGCGGCCTTTTCTTTAGGGCGCCCCAGTCGCTGGAGTAAGGAGTGGGCCAGGGTGGGGTGACGTAGCAGGTGAGCCTAGCTGCTGCCCTCCCTGTGCAGGGTCGAGGGAGCTGGTGAGTGAAGTAGTTCAAGGCTGTAGGGGTTGCTCCAGGACACACAGGCCTCGGGCTGTGTCATGATGGGCTGTGTGAACGCTGAAGTAACTAACCTACCGCAAGTCGGCAGGAGAACCTCTGAGTGAAACCCTGAATGGTGGTTTAGGAGGTCAGACCGAATTATTGCAAAGCCCTTTCCTCCCTAGGATCGACATGGGAGAGGTGTGTGTTGGCTCAAGTACACCTGGGTAGTGAAGGACCTGATTGGAAATGCTCTAGACAAGCTCCAGGCAGAGCTTAAGTCAATAGGATTTAAATTTGGGCTTAAAGATTGGTGCATGCTTGGCTGCCTTGCCGAGCCACTATCCCTGACAGCTGAAGCGGCCAGTCTTAATTCTGCCCATGGCTGTGTTTAAAAATCATCATATATTTGGCTATGAATTTGAGTATGGTTTGGAAATACATACTTCATTCAAAGACTGGGTAAACTAAACACTGTTTAGTTCAAGGGTAGATGTTACCAACATTAATAAAGTTTGGGTTTCCAGGTGTCACACAGACAACATGAGAGGAAGTGTGCTCTGCAAACCACAAAGCACCTGGGTTTGTGCACTATTGTACAACTTGTATACATCTTGGTAAGGGAGTGGGAAGAGGAACAGCATCCAGAGGTTTTTGAGTTACAGGAGTGTTAACTGGTAGAAGGAAACAGCCAAATGTGTTTAATCACATACTGAAGAGATGGAGGAGTATGACCTTTGTTTTCTCCAGTGCAATTGAGAAGGGGAGGGCTGTGGTGTTTCTTAGGTTGTAACTTGAAACAATAAAAACAAAGCTCAGTTAACACAATGGAAGTTAACAGGTTTAAGCAGGTGAATTTGAGAGAATGGTCTCATCTTTTCTGATTTGGTACTATTGATAGTTGTTTTTCTGTATTGGAGCTTCAGTCACAGATCTCATTGCAAATTTGATACAAACATGGAGTTCTTAACAAAAGTGAATTAGTTTCTGTGAAAGGCATTTTTATTCTCTCCAGAAGACTTGGGAGAGCATCATACTCTGGTTTTAACCTATTTGTAGGCATCAGTATGTGTCCAGTATGCTCCATATCTTTGGGTCACTTTTAGACGAGGGTTTTTGTAATGAGGGGTACAAACATTGGCTCAGGGGTAACAAGCACAGGCTGGGTGTGAGACTGTTCCTTGATGTCTGTGGCCGCTCCCTTTTCTTGACTGCCACTAAAGCAGGTGTGGACTTGCCTAAGAAGCATTCTTTCTTCACCTGGTTTCGGTATGTAGTGAGACAGAGCCATCAGCTAAGATGGGATGGGCTGCGTCCCCTCTCTCATGTTGCAGGATGGGGAATATGGAAGAGACAGGTGTTGCTAGGAAGGACCTAGTGATCAAAGCTGCAAATACCCCTGTTTAGCATTTGGGTTCTTGTGCAAGTGGACTTGATTCAGTACAGTTAGGAGTGCTGGTGAAGAAGAGACAGGTGCTGTTGGGCTTTTTCTACATGAGGAGGGGAGGGCTTTTGCAGAATCTATGAGGAATGAACAAATTTTATCATGAAAAAAGGAAATGAGTGAGCAAATGAGTGAGAAATGTACGAGGGGACCACATACTGCGGTACTTTTTTCGTAGGATTTTTTTTTAACCATAGTTTGCTATTGGCATTTTCCTCCCATCTCCTCTCCATCTGAATAGACTGGCTTGAATTATATGGACCAGTTTCACCATGGTGTGCAGGTGGTCCACCAGCCTACACTCACAGGGCAGGTATGGGGTATCACCCTCCACTCCCTGCCCACCTGCATACAGCGAAGTTTCCTCTGCTAATGCCTTCTAGAGAGGATAAGCTGCTTCACTTGCCAGATAGTGGATCTCACTGCTGTGTTACCTGTTTAGACTCCAAACCCTGCAGACTGGTTACTTCATCTGTCCTTAAACCCACCTAGCACAAACGCTTACAGTGCAATGGTTTTAGTACTGGTTTAGTAAATGGGAAGAAAAAAACATTAAGGGACCCCCTGGTTAACTTGTGCAGGACTGGGCAGTCTCACACCATGGTTGCAGTGCTCCCCTACACATGGGACCTCATTGTGTTGCCAGGACCCAGCCCGGCCTTAGTGTGGGACCTCCTGTTTGAGGGGCATCAGGCCCCTTCTAGCACAGCACAGGGGCAGGGAAGGCCACACTCACCCTGGGGCTGCAGTGACAGAAGACTCTGGGATATCCATGGAGATAAGTCTGGCATGGAGGTGCAATCCCAGGACACAGCTGCTGCCACAGGCCACACCAAGCACATGCCACAGAGCTCCTGAAGTCACACCTGCTGGCAGCTCTGATATGGATGACTCTGTGTGACACATGAGACACCCATGTACACAGGAGGCTGCAGCTTCTACCTCTGGACTATGAAGTTGCAAAACAGGAGCAAAACAAACTCAAAATAGCATAATTCCAGATTTAAGTTTCCTTTTAGGTTCCAAGTATACTATTCCTATGAGCTGGCACAGCAAAGAGCCTTACTCAGTCAAATGAGTGAAGCAATGGACTGAATAAGAAAATACGTATCATGAGTCAAAAGGAAGAGTGGACCATAAATAACAAGTCAAACAGGCAGGGATTGCTGCACAGCAGGCTCATATCAACAGAAAGCTTACATCATGGACATGTGGGTACTATTACTAACCATTCATAGGTTTGGGGATCACAGAGTAGAGTTGTGAAGTTTGGAGACAGCAGAAGGGCAAATTAAGGAAGGGTTGATTGCATAACCACTGGGGCAAAGAAGCGTAGCAGAAAAAAATTCTGCTCCGGTATCCCAAACAGAGAGAACAAGGGCCTTCTTCACTGATAAAAGATAGTCAGAACTCATCACTGAGATATGGCCAAGGGGAAGAACTTCCTTCAAGAAAGGAGAGAGTAGGCAACTGAGACAAAATTTGAGTATGTGAATGATGCCAGCTACCCAGAGAGTCTTGATGGAAAGTTGCAACATGGCTGTAGTCAGAAATAAACCCAAGCCTTTGACTTCTATATTTGCAATGCAGAGACAGAATAAGCAGTGGCCCCTCTGTTGCATTTAAGCCAGTTAATAGCAGGCATGCTGCTCTGAGAGGAGCAGTCTATGTTCTTATGGTGCCTTTCTTCACCTTCAGTCTCCAGGTGCAGGCTGAAGCACTGAAAGTGTAATTGAAAAAGCTACAATTTGGACAGTCCAGTGCAGTGCTGTGAGGTGAGCCTTGTTTCTGTTTACTGTTTAACAGTTACAGCAACCTAGCACTGAAAGTGCAAGGAGTATGCTGGGGAATTACTCCAGGGGAGCAGTGAACCTTGGTTTATAGCTTGGGACTGAATGGCAGAGTGACTGCCTGAAGCATAGAAAAATTAGCAGGAGTGTGGAAAGCTCTTTGGAGACCTCACAGCTAGCTATCTGGGTGCCCCATGAGAATTTGTCAAGCTGCTAGCTAAACTTCATGGAAAGCTGGAGAGGCCTTGGCATGCCTCATGAGAGGGAGTGATGTTTGGAAGGTTGGCTAGGTTGGTGTAGAAATGCCCATCATTTGTGCTCAGCAGAGCTTGGTAAGTAGGTAAGCCATGAATGCCCACAGCAGATTGCTTCCTTCTGGAAGAGGCAAGGGGAGGCAGGTACATATTTCTAAATAATGGAGTTGGTTGGGTTAAATTTAGCTAAGCTGAGAATTGTGTTCTGCTCCAGGAGAGACCTTCCCTGTCCTTAGCACTTCCTGCTGTGAGTACTACAGTTCTAGGCTCACCACAGCTTCACTGGCTTGGAGAAGAATATTGTTCTGGAAATAACCTTTAAAACTGTACAATGCTAATAAGACTGCTTAGACTATTTTCCCCTCTTTTTTGCAATGAAGCCTTGACTGAACCTATTTCTGGGCACTGATTTGGACCAGAATTTGTAAACATGACAAACTTAGCTGTTCATTGTGTTTGCCTGGAAAAACCAGTCAGGCTTGCGTAATGTTTTTGTGGTGAAGTGTGAAGGAGCTCAGGATGGGAGATTTGTGGCTGGAGACACAAAAGGCCTGAGAGCATATGCTAGCAGCTGAAAGATGCATGTGAACAGATGTCTGATGAGCCACAAGAAAACAAAGATGTAAGAGGGGCTGGGATGATATGTGTAGGATCAGGGGTTTGGCCAGCAGAACAGGGCATAGGAGCAAATCCTGTGTGATGGAGGGGATTAATGACAGACTGACTTAACCCCTGTGGCTGTTATTCATTTTGATACATACAGCTAGCCAGAAGTTTAATCCTTCGGTTAGGAAGGAAGTAAGTAACTGTATTTATTTATTTGTTTAAAAGTTACAAGGTATGTATAAGGTTATGTTTCCAATGGTGTGAGGGGATCAAGCAGCAAGATATTATTTCCTCGCTCATAGCTCCAGCCTTCTTTCAGCCAGTACCAAAGAGCTATTTTTCTCCAGGTTTCAGTCAGGGCTGCTACCAGTATTGTCTGAGCTTTGTCTGGAGCCTTCTTCTCTATGCTTTATCTGGTTTTTCTCACGTCCCTTGTGCCCAAGACTCCTATGCAAAACCATACTCAGAGTCATGTCCGTGTCTGTCCCTGTCCCCTCCCCCCTAGTTCAAATTTCTGGGTGTTTGCCTCTCATTTGGGCAGTGACTTGTGCAGTGTTTTAGAATGGAGATCACTGTTTCTCTGCAATGGAGCTAGACTGTATCTTATAACTAACTTAAGGCCATCGGTAACATCTAACCACTTCCATTATGTTTCACCCAGCCCATGGCAACATCTGCTTTTTCTGGAGACTGAGTTTTGAATCTTTCTTTATCCACTGCAGTGGAACTGTATGGTGAGGTATCTCAACAGGTCACTTACTGACACTGTGGGACAAAAAAAAAGACTGTAGCTCCAGGAACCCTTGTACTTGCCACTGAGAGAAGCTGATACAGATTAAAACTTCTCTAGCAAAAATGTTAAGTTTGGTCCTACCATGCAATTCACCTTGTATCTGTGTCAGATACGTGGTTTAGTAGAGCAGAAGAGGCAAGTTTAGAATCATAGAATAGTTAGGGTTGGAAAGGACCTTAAGATCATCTAGTTCCAACCCCCCTGCCATGGACAGGGACACCTCGCACTAAACCATGTCACCCAAGACTCTATCCAGCCTGGCCTTGAACACCGCCAGGGATGGAGCGTTCACAACTTCCCTGGGCAACCCATTCCTGTGCCTCACCACCATTACAGTAATGAACTTCTTCCTTATATCCAACCATCTAAACTTCCCTTGTTTAAGTTTGAACCCGTTACCCCTTGTCCTGTCACTACAGTCCCTAATGAACAGTCTACTCCCAGCATCCCTATATGCCCCCTTCAGATACTGGAAGGCTGCTATGAGGTCTCCATGCAGCCTTCTCTTCTCCAGGGTGAACAGCCCCAACTTTCTCGCCTGTCTTCATATGGGAGGCGCTCCAGTCCCCTGATCATTCTTGTGGCCCTCCTCTGGACTTGTTCCAACAGTTCCATGTCCTTTTTATGTTGAGGACACCAGAACTGCACACAATACTCCAAGTGAGCTCTCACGAGAGCAGAGTAGAGGGGCAGGATCACCTCCTTCAACCTGCTGGTCATGCTCCTTTTGATGCAGCCCAGGATATGGTTGGCTTTCTGGGCTGCGAGCACACACTGAAGCCGGTTTATGTTCATTTTCTCATTGACCAACACCCCCAAGTCCTTCTCTGCAGGGCTGCTCTGAATCTCTTCTCTGCCCAACCTGTAGCTGTGCCTGGGATTGCTCCGACCCAGGTGTAGGACCTTGCACTTGGCATGTTTAGACTTCATGAGGTTGGCATCAGCCCACCTCACAAGCGTGTCAAGGTCCCTCTGGATGGCATTCCTTCCCTCCAGCGTATCAACCAAACCACACAGCTTGGTGTCATCGGCAAACTTGCTGGGGGCGCACTCAATCCCACTGTCCATGTCAGTGATAAAGATGTTGAACAAGACCGGTCCCAACACTGATCCCTGAGGGACACCAGTCATTACTGGTCTCCAGACGGAAGTTTAGGAATAAGTAGCTGAGATGGTATCAATTATTTTATCATTCTTGGCTTATGTTGTCTTTTTTTCATGGAAATATGGCGTGGCAGAGTCTGTGGTCAAGATACAGGAGTATTGGCAGAATGGAGGTGCATTCAGTGCATATTTACTTGGGCAGCAGTGGTTGGCAGCAAGGTAATTGCAGTAGCTTCTGATCTCATTTTTGGTTCCTGTGATATGTTATTAACCACCTGTATGGCTTCAGCTTTCATGTTCATTCTCCGTTGTCATTCATTGTCACTCCATCCCTATTGCTGCTTAGCTTGGCAACTGGTGAAACAGGGTAGTAAGAACTTCCTTTAAGTTCAATTCCTTTCTGTCAATGCTTTGTGCGCCTAAACACACACCTCAGTCCCCTAGGACTCCATAGTGCATTCATTACTAGCCCCTCTGTCTCAAAACATCATGGATTTGACCTTGTGTAGTTGACCTGATGAGGCTCCTATTTAGTGATTCTCATTTGTCTCCCTGTCTCTAGCAGTGAAGAAAGTCCTGTGGCTGTAATCTATGACCGATGTCTCTGTCATTTCTGCCATCCATGTTGAGCGATATTAAGCCAATGAGCTCATTTTGTTTGTGACTTGCTTTCTTAGTTCATAAAATGAGAGTAGCGAAAGCATTAACCTCCCCTCCCCAACAGGACGAAGTGAAAGACTGCATCTGTGCGGTATAAACAAAGCCCTAATTTACATGTAAATGCATGTGAAATCGCTGTAGCAGCACTGTTATACCAGTGAAGCCCGCCTTGTGTGCAGGCAGCTTATGTCAGCAGAATAGGGCTCTTTTTTTTGAGCAGAACTTTTCCAAGCACTATCAGCTGTATCAGCGAAAACACTGAATACCAATATAACTGCATCCTCATTAGGACACAGAGCCCCATGGTATTTTAATTCCTAACTTCTTTTTAAGTGCTTGAATACTTTTGAGGATCTGGGGCTACAACTTTTGACACTATGGAAGTGACCCCAAACCCTCCTCCCATCAGTACCCTGGCAACCAGGTTCAGAGCAGATGTCGTCTCGCTTTATCAATGGCTGCAGAGCGCTTTGAGAAACTCTGGGAAAGAGCACTGAGTCTGGCAGAGCACAACCAGGCTGCTGTGGCTAGCTTCAAGGAGGACCACAGCTGTTGCTGCTTGTGACAACATTGGTGGTACTGCAGTAGACTGGACAAGTCCTTTTAAAATGTGTCTTCCCTTTAAAATGTATTTGTGGATAGTTTTGGTTTCATCCCTTACTTGATGCTATTACAGAGGTGGCACGTGAGAAGACAGCAAACCATAAAGAAGAGAAATGGTGAGGATAGTTCTCTAGTACCTGAGCAGTGACCAAACCTTAGCTTGGAGAAGGAAGGAAGGAAGGAGCAGTTTGTTTCCTTTCAGGTACCAAGCACAGTTTTGCAGGTTCTCATTCTCCTGTGCCTCTCCTCTTTATCAGAACTGTATGAAGGAAGACGACAAAACACATGGCTAAAGGAGTTTGGTTGGTTTTAATGCTCAGCCTTCTACCTGTAGAGTGAGTCAGTTCAACTCACTGAAAATTACCCTATAGAAAATTAACTAGTTTTCCCTCAGGTCAGTGAACTAAACTGACCTGACCTGGTGGCTGGAGGAAGGTGGCCATAGATTAGATGTAAGGGGAAACTACCCCTTCTGTGCAGCATAATAATCCGCATTATAAATTTTGTATTAGGGGTGACGGGAGCACAGAAAGAACCAGCTACCTGAAGCTCAATCTAGAGAAAAAGGTCAGTACAGGAAAGCAGAAGGCTGCTGCCACTCCTCTTCACAGTTACCATTATTTGAACAGAAGAGAGAGAGGCTTCGACACATAGTGCAATGGGGTGAGAGAGAAATAGACTCTTCAGCTACCCATAACTAGGTAGTTAAAAGCTTTCCCTTTGAAATCACAGTAAGTAAAAGCCATTATTAATTTGAGGAAAGGAAAGATGTTAGAGGCTGTGCCCTGCCATAGCGAAAATCTACCCCAGGACCAGGAATGGGTACTTGAGTTACATCAGAGAGACAGTGTGATGCAGTTGGCAGGACACATACTGGAAGTTTGAGTTGTCTTTCCCTCTCGCACAAGCTCATATTGTGTGTGGTGATCAACATCAGCCAAACAGGGTGGCAAGGCTGGCTCTGTGCTTGACACCCAGGTGCACTGGAGAGATGTCTGTGCTTTACGAGTGTAAGAGGCAACTGGAGAGATATCTGTGCCCTACGAGTGTAAGAGGCAACTGGAGAGATATCTGTGCCCTACGAGTGTAAGAGGCAACTATGGGAAATGTCACTATTCACAGGAAAATCACGTTTCCAGGGAAGGTGCTGCAGCCCTGAGTAGCTGCTGTATCGGGCATGGCCATAAGAGGGAAGTGTGTGCTCAGGCATCAGGTATCTTTCTCAGCCGGGAGCAACCCCAGCTGTGTTGGTGGTGGGCTCTGCGAGCAGCATGGACTCTGCCTGGGTCCCACCTCCTGTGCAGGGCTAGAAGCAGGGTATGTGCCTCCAGGGGCACCTGAGCTCAGCCACAGCCAAGCAGGCAGGTAGGTAGTGATGGTGGGGATAGGAAGAGAGGGGAGCAGGGGCAGGAAGGTGCCTGTCACTTCCCTGAGATGGAGGAGGATGAGATGTGCAAGCATGACTAGTCCTGCAATAACTGAGGCTGCCTTGTCCAGAGATGCAGGGCAGCAAGGTGAGCTTGAAACATTCACGAGGAGGAGAGTGGGTCCAAAAGGATATGGACAGGCATCCCTGCCAGCTCTCTAAAGGAGACCTTTCACCTGAGGCCCTTCTCAGCATGTTCCATAGGCCACATGCAGCAGTAACAAGTGGTACTTGATTGTTACCAGCCCTGTCAGACTTAGGTGACTGTAACCCTCATGTAGGTCAGGGCCATCCCTGACTGACTGCCTTTGCTACGTGTTTGCTAAAACTCACCACAGCACGAGGCAGAAAAGTCATTTGCACCATGCAGTGTTGGAACTTGAGGCTCAATTGGGTCTATGCCTGCTAGCTCCCAGGGGCCCTGTTGGTTGGAGCTGTCATATATGTGAGGCTGAGGAGCTTCTACTTGCCGCCTGGCCTGACTGCAGGCAGGTCTGTGCCCACCCTGGTAACACTGCCCCAACGCTAATCACACCAGCACCTTTTGGAATTGCTGAGGGAACCTGACATGACAGTGGTAGCTTGGGAGATTGTGTCTGGTGGTGTAAGTGGGAGCTGAGTTTCATCTTTTGATACAAGGTGATACCTGGTGTTGTTTAGCAGAGGAGTTAGGGACTCGGCTCACGGCCCCTATCTATTATGCTCCTGCTATGCTATAAATCAGTTACTGCAGTTCTGGATTTCTGTTTCCCTGCTATCAGTAGGGAGCTGAGCCCTCTGGCAAAAACCCACAGGGTGCTTTGAGGAGAAATGGAACTGAGATTGATTTCCTCTAGTTACCTACAAAGAAACGAGAGCAGCAGGGTCCAGTCAGGAGCGCCCAATGACCTGACCACCAGCTTCCTGCAAGCTGGCACTGTGGAGAGGCACAGTCACTTGTTACAGATCTGCCCCTCAGGGATATTTTTTTTCCCAGTGGCAGAAACAGAGGCAAATGAATGAGGCAGAGCTGAATTTATTCCTTGTTCATGCCACAGCATGGAAATAAAATGTATCCAGGAATAAACTGTACAAGAGCTGCAGGCAGGTCTTGTGGCAAGGCTGGGGGAGACAGGGTGGGTGCGTTTTTGGTGGCTGGCTGAGCATGCATTATCTTGCGCTTCTAAAGCATCTTATGCCTGCAGCAGAGGGACCTATAGTTGTAGGAGCAGGGACTGTAAGCCTGGCTGGTTATCTAGAGGTATATTTGATATGAATGGGAGAGAGCTGAGGGAATGTGCATTGCTCAACACATACATGTTGTGTATCACATATGGACAAGGGTGTTGCACAACAGGGGATAGACAGTGTATGTGTGTGGTTATGGGCAGGGGGTTGCTCTGTGTGTGGATACACAGGCAGTGCCCAGCCTGTATGCTGTGTGTAGGGCAGATGTGCTGGGAATGGCTGCCTGTAACAAGAGGTTACTTTGCAGTTAAATGAGGCAAAGAATTACCATGGCGACCGCGCTCTCCTCTCCCTGCCAGATGCCAGGCTCCCAGGCAATAATGTTTCTGTCTTACTCTAAAAGCCTCAAACTCACTCTTCTTCTTTTGAGAATGGGTAAGGACCACTCTGCCCTCTCTCTAGAATGGGAAAGTCATAGACACTGCGATATGGGATGGGTTTTGCATACTCCATCTTTCAGCACAAGGGGGGCCACTGTCTTGGTACCTCATAAGCTGGTGGCTGCAAAGACAGAATGGATGTGGTTTGAATTACTATGATACATTTGGTTCTTGCTCTTGCGTCCACACAGTGTCTTCAGGAACAGTGAAGGCTGAGCCAGTTGCCGGTTCTTAGGCATGTGCAGAGAGCTGTCTGTTGGAAGAGCTCACACCCGCACTGCAAGAGAGGTGTTTTAAGAAGCATCACAGGGAACAACTTCAACCCTAGCATCACCAGAAGCTTGGAGCTCAACAGCAATAGATACTGCAAGACTCCAAGGACAGACAGAAGGCAAATGTGCAAACTGTAACATAAAGCCTCCTTGCACCTAGTGTATTCACACTTGTTGTTGGTGTCCACATGGAGTATGTTTTCTGTTCTTGCTCAGCTGGATCAGAGCATGTCCTGTGCTGTAGCACCTGGCAAAAAAAGTACAGCTGCATCTTTCAGGTAGCACAGGAGCTAAGGTGTGTTCTCAGAGACCTTACTCCTTTCATCTTCAGAGGACTCATTTCTTTCATCAGCTCCCTAGGTTTAGTGCTTAGGGGCCCCTGAAGGCATATACATCATAGTTCTCCTGTGTTCTCAGTTAAAAGTTTAGGGAGATGATTGCTTTTAGTCCATGGGGAAAACTTGGAGGAGAAAAGCTTCGTGGCTTTACGTATTTGGAAATGCTTGGCTTCGGGAGGAGCACTGATGAATGCTGTACAAACCCATATGCAAAAAGTGGAAAGAACAAACCAAGTAGATGTTCATGCTGATCCCATAGGTTGAAGTGCCATAGGAGAGCAGAGAGGTGCTGCAGACCAGCAGATGGGTCATCATGTCACTTCTGCTCTACTGTAACTGCAGACATGCAGAACACAGCTCAAGGCAAAGGTCTGGTGCTTTTCCTCACCAAACTGGCCATTGCAGCATCTTCCCTTGAGTGTTCATCTTTTCCTTTAATGGTTTTTGTTTAAAGCACAGAAAAGCATGCTAGACACTGACAAACAGGTATTGTCATCTTGCAGAGGGCTGGCAAAAGAACAAATAGGTGCACTTCACTAGAGGTGAAGCAATCTCCATACAGCAGAGATTTGCTAATTTGCATGGTCATGGTAGTTAATTTTTTCATAGTGAAGCCCAATAATAGATCAGTCTGTGTGCTATGAACTTCTCATCACAAAAATACATCATGGGAGACTTCTACTATCTATTCTTGGCTGAGCACTGACCTTGGCTATTAGATCTCAGTTAAGCAAGTAAGTGACTAATGTTTCTTTCTTTTTTTCCCACTTTTCTGTATAGAAAATATTATTCAGTGAATGAAACCCTGGGTACCTGCATACTTAACTCCCCATATGGTACCCATGGTTTTTCAGAAGGCTCCATGTCACCTGTAAAACCAGCATTTCTTGTGTGAATTCCAGGGAAAGGAAGTATTAACTGTGGAGCCAGGGACTGCAGCCTGCAGCACTGAGCAGCCTCTGCCATTCCAGAACAGTGTGCAGTGATGCTTGCAGTTACGGGCAGGAGTGGGTAGGCCACAGGCATCAGAAAGAGTGTTCTCTATCTTCACTTCTTTATGCTTGCTCACCAGGGATCTTTCTTTTCTTTATCTCTTATCATTTTGTCCTACAGGAAGGGAAGAAGTGCTAGTGGATTAGACAAGGATAGTAATAAGATTATACAGACTTGTCTTGTTGCCTAACACCCCTGCACAAGCCAGGAGATGTCTGCAAACTGGTCACATTTTCAGCCCAGGTAAGTGCTGAAGCGTCAAAACAGTGTGCCAGACTCAGATCTCTCTTGGAGTACAATCACAGCATTGGGCCACGAAGGGCTTGGAGAGCATATCCCTGTGCTCATGTTTGACAGCAGCAGCAGCTCTTAATGGCAGGAGCAGCCGCAGGAACAGTTGTTGAAGAGGGGAGCTCCTGCTGTTGTCCAGTGAGGGTAGGGTGTTAGGAGGCGATGTAGAGTTCTCTTTGCCAGCTACTTACACATGTTGCGCCCAGTCGGGATTCAGACAGGGAAGAAGCAACGTGGCAGCATCTGAGCTACAAAGAGGTGGTGGCAGGGAAAAGAGATTCTTGTTACACTTGTTCTAGCATTGCTTGGAGGCAAGAGAAAGTGGGGGTGAAAAAGGGACTGTGAACAAGGACATGCTACCTCCTACAAACTGCCAGTCCTACAGGGAGCAAAAGAGATGTCATTTTGTCATCAGCATTATGATGATAAAACAATGTCAGTGTGAAGAATAGAAGAAAGGTCTCCTACATGGTGGAACAAACCCTTTGCTTTGAAAGGATCTATGGCATGTTTTCAGCTGTCTGGGCTGAAAAGGGGCTTATTTACACATAGCATTTGGCCAGGTTTAGAATGGCTTCAGATTATTTGCAGTAGTCCAGCTAAAATATTCCCAACCCCCTCTCATAGACATCTCACAATCAGCAATTTGCAAAGTTAGGTTTTGTCACAGCAATGAAAATAAGCTGACAAACAGTCATTACAAGATTGGTGCTGTTCTTTCCAGGTGCTGGCTGTATTACACAAAAGGTCAGACTAACATCTGACTGTTTTTAGAGGAATGCTGTCTGAAAAGCCAAGGGGCAAAATACCTGTGTATGTGGAAGTGTGCTGACTAGAGTGGCAGAAAGCTCTACGTCAGGCACTCAGACAAGGCAAGATGATGCCAGATTAATTCTCTCTGTTCTAGAAAAGATGGGACCTGCTATGCAACAAATGGGAGTGAGAATGGTGTTACCTCTTAGTGCTTTTCCCATATTCAGTGTATATTTGCTGCCTTTCCTCTGCCTGACTTGCTGTCAGCAAGGACACTTTTCTTTGTCCTTGGAAGAAACTATTCTCAAATGTTTGCTGTTTTTTGGGGGGGTTTTTTACCACTGCCTACTAAGAATTTCTCAATGCTCCACTCAGATTTCCACCATATTTTTCAGCTCTATCCCATGACTCCTAGCTCCACAATCTCAAGATCTGCCTAAGGAGCCATCCTCTTATGAACCTGTGAGTCTTCCCAAAATTTGAATTCTCTCTGAAAACAAAGCTAATGCCAGAGCTTCAACAACAACTGACACTTCTGCCTGGACCGATTGGTTTTAAGCAAGAACAGTGCTTTGAAAGATGAGTCTCCTTTCCAAGTTATGTGCTCTCCTTTGGCTCCTCCATCATTTCAAAATCAATAGCTGTCTCTGATTGCCCCCCTCCCCTCCAGATCCTCCTCTTTGCTACCTCATTTTGGTTTTAATTTGCTGCAGCAAAATTGCAGTCATTTTTCCCCTGTCCTAATTAAGAAACCTATCCATTAAGGGAAAAGAAAACAAAACCAAACCCTTCTTATCTAAGCCCTTAGTGCAGATCAGAGAAGAAATGATTGGTGATATGATCACCTCTAGAAAGCCAAGGCCTTTATTGATTTATCTGGCCTGCCTCAGTAAATACAGAATGAGTTTTAAATTCACCTAGAAGGAAGCTAAAAGCAAAGGTAAAGTACTGACTTCTCAACATCAGAGAAGAGGCAGTATGTCTTCTAGGCTGACTTTTTTTTATTCTCTATACATAGTTTCAACAAGAATATTTGGAGAATGTTTTGTTGTACATCATAGAATCATGAAATCATTTAGGTTGGAAAAGACCTATGAGATCACTGAGTCCAACCAGAAACCTAACACAGCCAAGTCCACAACTAAACCGTAAGTGCCAAATCCACACCTGAGTGCCACCTTACCTTACTTCTACTCCAGTTTCCCCACAGTTTGGTATAAATTGCCCTTGCTGCTGGCCTTATGGGGGCAATGGCCCTGACCTACCTTTTGGAAGAGCTTTGAGATCATGAAACAGGTGAGAAAAGCTGGATGGCAAGGGACCTCCTTCAGCCCAGCCAGCAGCACTGCATACTTCAAATAAGGAAATTAACATTGAGTGATGGTAAAGGAGGGCACAACCTCAGTGCTAAGATGTGTGAATACAGACACAAAAAGGGAAAGGCTACACAGGCAAGCTCAGGGGAGAGTTCACTACACATAGGGAAATGTCAGGGACAGAGTAGTCCCTACCGATTTGTGAAAATTGAGATGGAAAGTACCTCCAAAAGTTAAAACAGTTAAAACCTTCATTGCCTGGAAGAATAAGCTTCTCCTCTGTTCTGCAGAGAGGAAAAGCAACTGCAGGGTTTTCCAGACTTCATTCCCTCCCTCCTTGTCCCCCGGTGTAGTGGAAGTGGTAGATATCTTCTGTGATGCCTATCTAAATACAAGCCCTAGCTGCGAATATAAGTCGCATCTGGCTCCCTGGTGTACTCCAGACACTTATTTACCATCTTGGAGAGATAAGCATTTAACTGATTAACCTGTTCAAAATCTCTGTGCATAGTCAGCTCCTCCTAAAAGGGGTCAGACACTTAAAATAGCAGGAACTGGATGGGGATGATGCTCACTGGGTTAAAATTATCCTGATATCCTAGATTGTTCCTCTCTTGACTGGGACGCCAAGAGCAAAACCCCTTAGAGCAGTATGTGCTACAAAAGTCCAGACAAGTCTGCATGAAGAACATAAAAGTAGGCTTTTGAGCCTTCCTAAGGGAATAAGGCTTATGTTCTCATGATTTGTGCATGTGTTAAACTGTCCTCACATTCCAATCCAGTAACTTTGAAACCTGTTGGTCTATTTCAGTAAGATTGGGGAAATGGCATAAATTTCATAGCTGAAGTTCCTGCAGGTTCAGAATGTACCCAGCTAGAGGAGAGGGACCCTGTAAATAACCTGATTTTGGAAAAGGGTACAGTGTACATGTAGTAAACACCAGAGAGATCATGTGGGTAAAATCCCTTATAAATGCTCAGCTGGAAGAAAAGCTTCAGTGAGAGCTCACAACTTCTCAGGAACATAAATCCATAGGGAACCATAGGAACATCCATTCTGCACCTCACAAAACTACTGCTTTTGTTTTATTATGATGTAGAGGGGAGGAAAAATTATTTTATTTAGGAAACACTGTAAAAAACTCCACAGCCTAGTATCCAGTGGATTTAAGTGGATCTGGTGGATCTAGTGTGTTTAGGAACTGTTATCCAGTACTCCATTTGTTGTTGGCATCCTGTTTGTAAAAGAACTAGCAGAGAGAGTAGTATGCCACCTGAAACAGGAAGAGGTACTGAAGAGAGCTAGCAAGGAAAGTCAGGGGCCCAGGGCACGTGATCTACAGGGAAATGTTGTGGGTCCTGGGGTCCTTCCATGTGGCACAGAGGAGACTAAGGGGGAGTCACATCTAAACATAAGGCTTCAATGGGTTCGTTACTTCCCATGACCAGTTACTAGGTGTTTGCAGCATTTACTACAATTTCAAAGTGCAGAGGATAAACAGTATGGTTTCTTGACCTTGAATCACAGGAACAATTGAATCCTGGAATAAATGATTGCTTGTTTATTATATATTTGCAAGGAACTGAAGATAAAAGAAATGAGAACCATGGACTTAAGCCTCAGCCTGTGACATGAAGAAAGCAGCTCCAGTTCACAACTATCTGGTTCCATGACTATCTTCTATGAGCTGGAAGATTTTGCTTCCCTCTCAAGAGGGAGGAGCAGCCAGCCTGCCTTCACTGTCAGGAAAACAGACATTCCTCTTCCCTTCCCCACCTTCAGGTGCCACTAAAGGAGCTTTGATGGTTTCTGAGACTTGGACAACTTTCCTTTCTGGTCATGTTGTAACCTCTCTGAATAATAGTATTCACTCTCCCAGGGCTCAGCTGCAAATGCACCAGGCCTAGAACACAGACAGGACACATTCCTGGCATAGAACAAGATATTAAAACTTATATCCGATTACCTTAGACATCAAATTACTGAAGCTCTTTGCAGTGTTGCATAAAGAATTAATTGCACATATACACATTCACTTGCTATGAAATAAACAGACCAGACATTTTCCCCATGAGGAAAAGCTGTCGCATCCACATTGAACAGGACTTGGATACTACAGGCAACACCTCTCTGAACCTGCCCAACAAACCGCAAAATGCCCTTTAGCTAGGTAGCCCTGCAGACACTCACAGGGATCCTCTACCAGAACTGGCAGATGGCAGAGGCCTTATCCAAAACAAGTCTGCAGGGAACAGCACAAAGGATGTGGCAGCATTAACAATACACTGAATAACTAACAGGGAGAGAAAGAAAAGAAGAAAAAAGCCATTCCCAAACTGATAGAGATCTTTAATTTAAAAACTGAGTAAGTTTATTCATTGGGAAAGTGCAACAAAATACCCCAAGGATAGTGCATTCCACTCCAACAATTAAAATCACATTAAAAGGAGATAGGAAGGTCTGAGCCTTAAAGAGAACTGGCACAAAAGCTGGTGCTTTTGTTTCTATATATTTATCTTTGGGTGACAGAGATAAGTCACCGATTAACTTTTTTGGTACTTTTCAACTTCATTTCTTCTCCTGCAAGTCATTCTGTTCCCTAACAATGCTGTCTTGGGACTGGAGGGCCATAATCTGCAGGTACTGAAGAGAGGACAGTTTTTAAAGAATGGGGATATAGGGCTCACTCACATACTCCCATCTAGGAGCTACTAGCCATTCTAAGTAGATATTCCCCCAGTCGTTTCTCTCTAAAATCTTAGGTATGCAAAAAGGCATTCTACTCATAAGAGCAGTTTCTGATGCAACTGAGGAGGTATAAGCAGGCAAGAGGAGAGCACAGGACTATAGGAGGCTTATAGCAGGTGCTGCTTGAGGGAGCTGCCAGTTTCCAATCACTGAACCAGTTTTTGTGGTAGAGGTTAGCTCAGCCTTCTTGGAAATGCTGCAGGTAGGTCTCACACCCGTAGCAGCCTATTCTCACTCATACCTGCTACTGCACTTCAGCTGAGCAGCACAAGCCCAGTAGGATTCTTTAATCCTTCGCAATTATATATCTTTTGCTAGCACCTTCTGCCCAATGATTTCAAAATGCTTTAAAAGCATGACTGTACCAAGCTTAAAATTCTCTGACACACAGGTATTTTAAATGGAACAGAGTACAATAAATGTCTGCAACAAAACAACAGAAGAGCTGATCTCCTGGGTCCCAGTCCTGAACTCATCCTTCTTTTAAATTCTTTTTCTCTATTTCTTACAGCACAAATTACTTTATTTAGTCTGCAGAAGTTTATTAATCCCAATACTGACAAGTGATGCCTAGTATCAATACATTAGCTCCCAATTCCGTATGAAGACTGCCTGTCCAGTCCATGTCAGCATGACCTCCTGGTCTCAGCTGTCCGTGTTTGGTTTATGTCTCTTGGTTCTGCTGTTCTCCTGATGGTGACCGTCTTCAGAGGGTGCTTGGCCCTTTCCCTTTGTCCCAGATTCCTCTGGGAATTTCTGACCCTCAGCCAACACCTGCCGAATAGTCATATTTATGCGGGAAGACTGCAAGTACTTGGCACACACCTGCCAGTCCTCATCAGAGCTGTGCTCAATGACTGAGCCAACAGGAAGGTCTGAAGAAACTCCTTTGTCCAGGCATGAAGGCAAAGCTGTTCCTTCAGGGTTGGGGAGGACCCGTGGCACAGCATGGTACAGGAGGCGACTGAAGCCAGACATCACCATGATATCTCCACTGTGCATGAACATTGCTGTTGGGGCCTCCTCCCGCTTCAGGCCCCCAAGCAAAAATATTGAGGATTGCCCAAAACTAGAGACAGTATGAGAATAGAGAAAGAAGACAAAACTAATTCAGGTAGAGAAGAGTTATATGTACAGTAAGAAAAGATTAGCAGCTAAATGCTTGTACAAAAACAAAACCAACCAAACAAACAAAAAGCCCCAACAAGCAAACCAGACCGGTCTCCTAGTAACGACTTTTAACAACTTTACAATGTGAGCATGGAAAACGGACTAAGAGGCCTGGCTCAAGGCAGTCAGTGTGAGCAGTTGCCTTGCCAGTTTTGAAGCTCTGCTGAGTTATTTCATCGTTGCCTGCTAGTACCAAACTGACACCGTCCTAGAACAGAACTGTGCTCCGTGCAAAGAGCTCTTCCACCACAGGTGCCACATCCATGCTATTTAAGCAGTCTTCAGAGAAAAAATTATGACCTTGAGCTACAGCTTCCTACTATTCAAATCTTCAGAGAGTGAATATTATATATCCAATTAGCAAACTACATCATACTGGTTCCCTAGAGCCACATACAACTATATAAAAAAAGGAGACCAATCCTTCCACAACACTCGAGTGTTTTCCTTGACTCACCTGAATGATAAAAGGGGACAAGAATGGTCTAGTTCAGACTCATCCACATGAATTCCCAGGGAGGAGTCAAAGTGATAGTAGTTCAAGATCCCTGCTTGGGCTTGGAAACCCCGGAACCCACAGGCTGCGGCCACTTGTTCTGACAGGAACGCAAGGTCTGAGGGGAAAGGAGTGTGGTGATTTGCTGAGTACTTCTGGAGGAAGGAGAGTGGGGAAAAAAGTAAACACAAACCACATGCAGAACATCAGAGCAGAACATACAATTGAAAACAAACACTGAATGAGAAGTCAGAAGTTTGGCTAATAGTCACAGAGAACATCATATTTATGACTACAACATAAGCAGAACTATAGCCAAGTTTACCTCTTCATGTAATTCTGGGGCCATGCTAAGACTGCTAAGGTAGAATTAATAGTGGAGTTACCATTATATCTTGATGGCAAACTTGAAGTCAGTAAGATTAGTACTTAAGGCTTGTACCAACATCCTGAGGATCTACTTGGTTACTACCTAAAGCTGCCAACTGAAAGACACAACTGTATCTCACTAATAGAACTCTGAAGAACAAGAAACAGAAATAACTCCAAACCTATTTTTTCTCTCTCCCATGACTGACTCTCAGACAACTGGAAGGGAATAACTAAGTTTTTATTAAGGCACCCAATAATAGGCTGATGTGGCTGCAAGCAGATTTGGTTAAGTACCTGCAATGTACTGATAAGACTGCATATTCACTTCACCATCCTTTTTCAGCCTTCATCTAACTCAGTCTTATGAAAAAGTTTATTTTAGCCAAGGGCCCCAAAATAACTGTTACTTGGTGAGGCTGTTATTATACTGGTTCAAAGTCACATCAGCAGCAGATTCTTCCTGCTCTCGTTCACCCTTGTGAACAGAAGTAGTTTCTCAGAAGTGGCTGTCTTCAAGCACTCAAGGTCATTCTCACCTTAAATAGAATCATAGAATAGATAGGGTTGGAAAGGACCTTAAGATCGTCTAGTTCCAACCGCCCTGCCATGGACAGGGACCCCTCACACTAAACCATATCACCCAAGGCTCTGTTCAATCTGGCCCTGAACACCACCACGGATGGAGCATTCACAACTTCCCTGGGCAACCCATTCCAGTGCCTCACTACCATTACAGTAAAGAACTTCTTCCTTATATCCAATCTAAACTTCCCCTGTTTAAGTTTGAACCCATTACCCTTTGTCCTATCACTACAGTCCCTAATGAAAAGTCCATCTCCAGCATCCTTCAGATACTGGAAGGCTGCTATGAGGTCTCCATGCAGCCTTCTCCAGGCTGAGCAGCCCCAACTTTCTCAGCCTGTCCTCATACTGGAGGTGCTCCAGTCCCCTGATCATTCTCATGGCCCTCCTCTGAACTTGTGAGACCTCACTTGGAGTATTGTGTACAGTTCTGGTGTTGTCAAGATAAAAAAGACATGGAACTGTTGGAATGAGAGCAGAGTAGAGGGGCAGGATCACCTCCTTCGACCTGCTGGTCACGCTCCTTTTGATGCAGCCCAGGATACGGTTGGCTTTCTGGGCTGCAAGCACACACTGAAGCCGGCTCATGTTAAGTTTCTCATCGACCAACACCCCCAAGTCTTTCTCCGTAGGGCTGCTCTGAAGTATTTAACAATGCTTTTATGACCATCCCTTTCGGTAAGGTAAAAATGCTCATTTAACCTGAAGTAGAGTCACAGGTCTAAAGCTGTGTCTATGCTACCAGTTACCTTACAATGGAAAGAGTGCAGCAATGGACTTTGCTGTTAAATCCTTCACAGTAAGCTAATAGAGATTGAAATTTTCTTTCAAGCATGGTTTGTTACAGCATTCCTTTAAGGCTGTCTTGTAGGATAATAAGCATTTTATTCCATGATATCCTCCTCTGTCTGCCATTCTGAGTGCTTACAGCAGAGAAAAATAAAGAATTTAGCTTCCATACCTTAGTATCCCAGTTATAATGGTAACCAAGGGTCACCCAGCGCAGCTTCTCCAATAAGCTTCTGGGCTCCCCTTTACTGGAGCCCTTCTTTCTGCAAAGACAAAATGAATAGAATATGCATTAACTTCTGAGGGGTTTTCTGGTAGTGCAGCACACAATAATAAGAGTCACGCATCCATGTGACAGCCTATTAAAACAATCAATGCTGAACTTTTTTCAGTGCCATTATTTTTTTCCTCTAAAGACCCTGAAAAATCAGTTCATGCAACTTCTGCAAGCTATAGGGCCTCCTGCCAACTGCTGCCAGTTTGAAAGCCTGTATTTTCAACACGGTACATAATTGATTATCAGATGGAGACAACACAGTGAACTGGTACAGATTTAGAAGTCAGAATTAAGCATGTACTGTTTGAGCAGCTGTATGTCAAAGTACAGAATCTGTGATGATCTAAAAGCTGCAAACAAAAGGAAAAATATTCGAGGCACTTAATGGAAAACGACAAGAAAGGAGAATGCTTTGCTTCACAGTAAAGTATATCAAGCTGCACAATGTTCCAAAGGACCATTAGTTCTACTACTTGGTACTTTTACAAGATGTCCTGAGCACTGACCAATGCGATGTCCAGTAAAAAGAGAGACTGCTCTAGCTATGACCGTACACTTCTTGTAATGTCAAGAAGTCTATACTGCAGGTGTCTCCTATCCAGACTGCTATGAAGGACAAAAGCCTGTTCTTCTCAAGTGTCAACCCTAATGCAGAGAGGCTCAGGGGTCTGAAGCCACACGCCAATTTACCAATCTTACTTAATGATAGAAACATGCTAGTAACAAATAAAAAAGGAAGCTACACATCTATCTGCTAATCCAATTATTCCAGCAATTTCAGCTTCTTTTCTCAAGCTAAGTCATGTGTTGCAGTAAGGAAAGAAAGGGAAATATACTCAGAATATCATCAGTTGCACCCAATGGTTGGCTCTCACAGCCTCATTAGTTCAGTAAAACATGCCCTCTTTTACGGAACGGATTCATATTTGTTCTGCCATCGTGAAGCCTCAACCAAGCACCTGGATTTAATGCACATTTCTACCTGCATACACGTTGTTTCTGCCCTTCACCTATAACATACTAAGCTAAACCAGGAACAGCAGTAAAAGGCCAGTTTCTTTACCATTAGCAATTTTTCATAGCTCACTGATTATTGAAAGTCATCTTTCCAGTTTCCACCTCTATCACAGGGTAGTAGCCAACTGCAATTACTTTCACTACAGTGCTAGAGTGTTTGCATAACATCAGGGACACTAATATGCTCAGTAGGTCCTTATTTTTGCATGTGATTTCACATGTGATTGCTAAGGAGAGGGAAGTCCTGAATGTTATGTATCTGAAAGCAGCAAGTTCCTACAACTGTAGCAGCAGGTGCTCCTACAAGAAAGCACAGAGAAATTCAGTACAGAGAAATTTGCATTCAAAAACAGAACAAGACTGAACAGCTGCGGCTTTAGTCTGAAGCTGGTAAACAACTGCATCTATAACCTCAACCCCCAGCTTTCTCCTTGTACACAGGTTACACATATCCCTTGTAGGGATGCTCTATCCTCTTTAATGTTTTACTTGTCACCAGCACTTAAGAAAATACCCAAACTCCACTCTTTAAAGAGGCATAGAACACATTTCTAGGAACTGTGTAGGCTCTCCCTACCTCGTTATTCCTGTATCCTGAGAAGAGCAGATAAGCCATGACCCGAGCACATTTATGCATCTTTCCAATGGCTTCAAAAAGCATTAAAATTGTTCCCAGACTTGGAAGTAGACAACTATTCAGTTAAGCACTCTATTTCTCCCCTCCCTGAAAGGCTCTCAACTCTAGACACTAGACAAGTTGGCTAGTTTGATCTGCTGTTCTCCAGGTAAAAAGCACAATATAGCACTTTGCTCACTTGAAGACTCAGGCAAGCGCTTAATAAAACCACCAGCCATGACTTTTCCGAATGCTGTTTTCAACTGAACTGGATTCAGCTGCAAATTAACCTCTGTTCTGATCATTCTCTGTGCACGCAGGAAGTGTTGCTGGGAAAAGCCTGCTGAGCTGGAACAGTACCTCACTTTTTCAGCTGTAGGGCACAATGCACAATACTTTCAAGGGACCATTTTTCATCCGTGCCTAAATTTCTGTAACTAGTTCTGACTGAGCTTGGAAAATACAAGTGGAGCCATAACTTCTCTCTTAGGTGCAAACATTTTGAAGTCCAAACCTTGCTTTTGCCATTACACATCTTGTAGATGTTAAATATATTTTCAAAGAAAAATCTCAGCATGTCAATTTTACTAAGAGACTGAGGGAGATGAGAGCTCTAGAGAACTCATTATCAAAAATGAGCAGTGAAATAGGCAAGGTAATGATAAATACCCAGATAACTAAAAGACTGTATACTGTGAACAGCATCTCTCTGATGTCTTTTTTACAGATGACTAATTAAAAAGGTCTTTAAAACCTTTGGACTCCGTTATTTTTGACCACCAAAGGTTACTGTGGACTTACCTTAGCTGCTCTTTGCTCTGTCCCCACAGGTCAATGGTCTTCTCAGGAGCCATATGAAGGTCTAAATTGCAGACACTGGGTTTCTGGGGATATAGCTTGAGACACTGCTTCACCCAGTGACGCTGGCATCCCGGAAGGAAAGGATTCAGTATGAAAATAAAGCCTGACCACAAAAAAAAACCCACAAACAAACAAACAAAAAAAAAAGGAGAAGGTAAAGAGAGAGTATAATGAGGCATTTCCCTTGTTTCCTCTAAAATTAGAGCCAAGGAGAAAGGTACTGAAAAAACAACTTAGACATATAACCACTGATTCTGCATGTAAGCTCATGAAATTTATTAACAGGTCTGAATAGGCAAGTTAAAACCTATTGCTTTTTCAGTACAAACAAACGGTGAACATAAGGTAGAAGGCAGGGAGGGCAGCCAACAATGGTCCAAGCAAAAAAATGACAATAAAGGACTTAATCTGTGTAAGGCATACTGATCATTGATCGCAGTAGATAAAGGACCATAAAGCAAATTGCTTTGGAGTAAATTTGATTTTGAAATGATTCAGCAAGATTCTTCTCTTGAACCCTGCAAAGTTAAAATAATTCTGGCCTAGTTCTTCTAGACTTCAAACTGTCCTTGTTGCTGCCTCTGAATTCACACTGTCTTCTCATTGCTACTTCAGTGTCATGAACTGCAGAGAGCAGTACAGGAGCTGAGCAAGTCTCTGGTAATGTGAACTGTCCTCTCCTCTGCTTCATGCTTATTTCCAGGTAAGTCTGATTGTATCCATCTTTGTATTTTGGTACGGTAATATTAATCAAGTGGGCATGAAAACCAAATTATGTCCCAAACTGCCTGTTGCTGCTGCAAATACTTTGCAGTCATTGTTAATGAAGAACAAAAATAAACATGTAGATAGTCTGCACATTCATTTAGCCAGGCACCTCTGGCACAGTTCAAGCAGCAGTCCAAATAAAGAGGGTTAGCAGAGATGTAATGGATTGATTTGGTCTATATCTTAGCAGACAAGAGTCTTTGACATGAGATCTGCCATCACTAGGAGTGCTAACATGATTCTTCACTCGAGTTTTCTCCCCAGAACCCAAGGCAAGTTTCCTTCCAGGCCAGGGTTGACAGCATTGATGAGTGTCTGAAGGGAAGATGCTATTAATCTTTATGATACCTATGATGAGAATCAAGGCATTCTCTCAAAGACTGTGAGTTCAGTAAAACTCGCCAACACAGAATTCACATACAAAGTCAGATAAGGGTATGGGAGATAAAAAAAGGAACAGGAGGTTTCAAGGTTTTGCCCTATTGTGACGTTTTGAACTTCTTGGTCATACCAAGTTAAACACAGACAAAAATAGATGAAAAAGGAAGAAGCAAGACTAGGAGTCCCAGCAGGATACAAACTTTCCTTGTGGCCTTATGACAGCGGTAATAAAGCACAGAAACTTCCTGCCAGCACATCTTACTGACCTCATAAGATAAAATTAACTAGTTAGAGCCTTCCATGTATTAATAATGTACTGTCATTCATTTCACTCCAATCCCTGCACCATCATACTATGGCAGCCTTCTGACAGGTCTGGTTACAAGAAGTTTCTTTGCCAGAACATTAAATTTACTTTCTGTTGGCCTCTGCATAGAACAGAACAATATTACTGCCCTTCCCTTCAGCAGCTTTTGATGTGGGGTTCTCAAAGCACCTTACTACATTAATGAAATTACACTCTACTGCGTATGTATTGTGTCCAGGTATTACTGAAGGAACTGAAGCCTGCAAGAGCTAGTTACACACTGAGCTGAAAACAAGAATCCAAATTTTATGACTCTTGTATCAGAAGCTTAGCACATGCTCCCGTCTCTCAAAACCTTTCCTTGCTTACTCCAAAGAAACCAGATTAGTCTAGATTTACAAAATCAAGAACTAAAAAGTGGTCTATTGCTAGGCTTCTGATGTTAAGAAAAGCAAAAAATCACGAATTTCTAATAGCTGGGGAGTTTCAGTATAAAATTCTGTACTGACACTCAAGACTAACAGTTCCTGGGAAGGCAAACAGAACTAGAAATCAGTGATTTACCACACATGGGAGGGAAAAGAGCAAGAGCTATTTCTGTAGCAATCATTCTGAGCTGACTCAAGAACATCACAGACAAGCTTTGAAGGCAACACAGTTGAACCTCTTGCCCTTGAAAGAGTTGGTCTGAGTGGAATGGGCAAAAGATGACGACTCTGGGGATATGTATACCACAGGAATATGCCTTGAGGAAGCAAGTGCAGTTCTGTTACTGCGGCAAAATCTTGTGGCACACTAGGAATTAATTTACACCTAGTCTCCAGCCTCAGTCAGAGGAAGGATAAGACATGCAGATGTCTAGCAACAAGAACAACCTCTCATCAAACCAACTTGTGTCAGTTATAAAGATCCAAAGACAGCATCGCCCACACCTCACAGAACTCAACAGAAATTCATCCAGATTCCTTAGTTTTGTATTTCATTGCTCACTGTGGGAACAAAACCAAATGAGGTTTTTTCCATTTGGCCAGAGTCAAGCTAAAGGAATTCTAACTTATTTTAGCAGACTATTGGGGCAGTTGGTTAAATACCTTATAGTGCTTTAGGATGTCTGGATAAAGGTAGCTGGAAAAGCATAAAATATTATTCTTGTCTGCACAAGACTTGATTCTAAACACAAGTGAGAATTTGTTAATGTATTTGCATTTCATTTTAGTGAAATGTTTGTCAGAAGTGGAAGAAAAATGCACTTAAGTAGAACACTGGTGATTTACTCCCCCTCCATATAATTGTTAGGAAAGACAGACAGATGTGAAATGACAAGTGAGATCAAAGGAGGGCAGCTATAATGTGACAGGTAAGTGGAACAAAAAATTTAAAGTGGCAATAAGAGGTGGAAGCCTTTCTCCTGAATTTATTAAATTCCCTGTGTATTACCATGCCAGATGACTAGTGTGGCTGCCACAGTTTCAGAAGTGGTAGGCCAGCTTCATAGCAACTCACACAGACACTGAGTGCAGTCCAGATGAACCAGAAGAATGGTTCTTATCTAATGTTCATGATATATGTTGAGGAAAAATAGATGATATAATACAAAAATCTCTACCAAGGGCAACAGGAATCCATCCTCATGAGGGATGGCCTGGTTGATAGAGACTGTGAAACAAAAGGCCCTTCTGTTCTCACTTTCATATATTTTGCGGTATCCCACCCTTCGGTTGACTTGTTTGTCCTCCCGCACTTAAAATAACATTAAATTACACTTTAGCAAACCAAAGTAGCTTTTTCAGGCAGGGCAGAGGGGGTAAGATGGAAGATGCTTGAATCCAAAGGAACAAGGTTGTGTTTAATTTTTCTTGAAATCAAGAAATACATACCTGGATAACCTTTAAGGCCATAGGCTTTCCACTGGCTAACTGGCTGTAATCCTGCTCTGGAGGCATCTTGATCACTGACTGACGAAATACTGAGCTGTGATCTGACCACCTGGCAAAACAAAACAGATCAGTTATAAAAAGGAAGAAATATAAAACTCATCCAAACCAGCACCTACAAGAAAGAGTGCTATCATATTCCACACTAAGTCTTGTGAAAACGCTAACTGTACCACAAAAGCAACTGTGACCATAACAGGGCATGCTGCTAACAGAGCTAGTATGTACTCAATGCAGGAGTCAAACCATACTAGTTTTCACAGTACCTAGGGATCAGGAGAGACGTCCTCCATTCATTAAAAAAAGCCCTAAACAATTCATACCAATGAGAAAAAAATGGCACTATTTGACCATTTCCACAGTACAGCCACATCTTTATAAAACATTCTAGTAATTATCAATTTCCATTAGAGAGCAATATACCCATAACACTTCATACCTTCAAAGAACATTCCAAATACAAGTTGCTAGTGATACCACAGGGTAGATGACTATTCTGCGATTTATAGAACAAGCAGTAATACAGTGATCAAGTGGCCAAAGTTGTCTGATGTGAAGGACTGCAGAAATCCAGTAAATCCCTAATACCATATTGACAGTTGCTTTCAACAGCAGGGCAACAGCTCAAGGCTTAGCAAGATACATTTTCTTGACATACTCTCTTGGGTAGCAATAACACATGTATTTAAGATGCAATAAACCAACGCTTGCTGTCAAAACCAAACTCATCCACTGTGTTCCCACTCCCTCCATTAGGGCTGAGAATCATCTTACCGTTCATGGAAGAGAAGAGGCAGGTTAGTTTAGTTCTGGCTTAGTTCCCCAGTCCAGCTCTCCATGTAGCTACACATAAGTACAGCTCATGTAAGGAAAGAACTGGCCAGGCATAGTGGGAATAAGCTGGCAGACACAAGCAAGACTTTGTTTATGATAACTTGAAGCATATATGAAAGTAAGGCCTTTGCACACAAACTCTGCAGTGCTGAATGTGTAAATCAGTGCAGGCTGACAGCTCTGGTTAACATCTTCAGAGTAAATAACCTACACAGAATTTGTAAGAAAACTTTAGACCAGTGCTGGGCAGCAGCCTCTGGCAGTGTGCTTTTTTATCAACAAATTTTTTAGCTCTTTGTCAGAACCAGCTTTGTGACTGCCAGACTTGAAGAGCTTAGTTCAGAGTCCTGCCTGCAGGGCATCCCCAGAAAGCCTCTTCCTTCAACTAAGACTCTGTCACCTCTCTGCCTTCTCAAACTGCTCACACATCAGCTGCTATCAGGACTTCTGGAGAGCAGGAGCTGCTCTATGCTGAAGAACTACATGTGCTGAATCAGTCAAATAAGCCTGGTAGCAGGGCAGCTGGTATGTCACACTTCACTGAAGAGCTCAATCACTTGAAGCAGTTTTCTGACAGAAAAGGAACAAGAGTATCTGGGCCAATCTGCCTTGCCTGTAGCTCTTCTTAAAGAGAAAAGCCAGATGTTCTTAACCCGCGGGAAGGAGGAATAAAAGGTGCTTTCACTAGCAAGCTATCAACTTATCTTGGAAGGTAACAGGCGCAAAAAGAATGGTATGAAGAAGGACCAGATGCTTGTGATGCTTTCAAGTACTTTGGATTTCCCAGAAGGGCTGTAATGCTGGAATCCTTTATTTGATAAAGGATTGCTGCAAGCTCAAGACAGGCTGAAATGTTAACACATCCCTTGTTTAATGCCAACGCCTTGAACAATTTCGTATGGGTCAAGTTTTATGTGCCATTACAATATCAAAATTTTACTCTGAAAAGACAGTAAAATATATATTGTAATAGAACAGTAAAAAGCAAAGGCTAAGCATTTGAACTATGAAAAAATTGGAAAGATTTCATTTTAAATATATTCCCTACTCCCTTTTTCCATACAGGCTCATGTACAGAAAACCCCAGGGTAACAACACTTCAGCAGACATCCACTGTGCTTTTGTGAGGTGATAAAACAGAAAATGAGTGTCTTCACTTGTCTATCACTGAGGACATAGCAAACCATGACAGCGACTACTTCGAGATGCACTCCTGCCTGTGTGCCCTAATCCACTGCAACGCTGGACGTGCCCTGGGGGCTAAGCCGAATGCTTGCTATACAGGAATAAAACTGGAGAAGATGCTTTACCAAGGGAAGACAGCAATAATCCTGGGTGTGCACTGTGCTGATCTCGGCTCCCTCTTCCGCTCACCCAGGTGTTCTCGGGCCAAGACAAGGATAATCAGGTCCAGGAAATAGTGTCAGCTCCAACAGTGAGGCTTGCTTTTTCTGCCCGTATGTTCCTTTGCTTCCCTTTAAGTACCATGTGGTCCTACTACATGCTTCGAAAACCCCTTACTGCAGCACAGAGAGCTAATTAAACATTATGGGAGTAAACAAACATAAGCAGAAGCAGTCAATCTGTGAGTACACAGTGTGATGGTCAGGGCAGCTGGGACAGCAGCTTGTGACCCTGGACAGGGGTCTGCGCCCCATGGGCAGCTAGCCCAAACGGGCCTTGGATCCACGGGCAGAGCAACCCTCAAAGCTTCTCATCCTTCCTCAGCGGCTCAACTCTAACCACGCAACCAGCGTTTAAACGTTATAGCGACCTGTGAGAGGACCAGAGCTGGCGAGCACCGTAAAGAGATGGCGATAGGGTTTTCGCTTCGAGCGCGAAGAGCAACAACAATGCAAAAAGCAGGATACAGCAGCACCGCACGGAGAGCGGGACGGGACGGGACGGGAGGAGCTCGCAGTGCCCCTCACCAGCCGGCCCCTCACCGCGGGGCGGGGGCAGGAGGATTCCGGCGTTACCTGGCCCCCCGGCACGGAGAAGTCCACCACGCCCCGCAAGTCCGACGCGTCGCGCTGCCGGTAGAAACGAAAAAGCCTGCGGAATGCATCCTCCCCGCCCTCCCGGGTCAGGGCCGCCGCCGCCATTTTGGCCATGCCGCGGCGGGCGGTGCAGCGCACTGCCGGGGCGGGGCCGGCCGCCTCCTTCCCGTCGCAGCTCCCAAGATGGCGATGGCCAGCGCGGTGCGTGCGGTGGGGCGTCGGTCTCGGAGGCTCTTTGACATCTTCGTGGCTGAGGTTCCGTGGACGGTGTCGAGCAGTGAGTCCGCACCACCTCCTTCAGCACGCACCGGTGCTTGGGCTGCCGTGGGACGGGCCGCGCGGGAGGCGGGGTCCCCAACGCGTGTGCAGCACTAGGCCGCGGGGGCCAGACCGGGCTAGGGTGGTTCCGGCTTCGCTTGGGGGGGGGGGGTCTGTCCCGTGTAACCGGGTGTGCATTCTCCCCACAGAAGAGCTTAAGGACTACTTCTCCCAGTTCGGGTCGGTGCAGAGATGCCAGCTGCCGTTTGTGAGTACCGTTCGCCTTCCAGGCCGCTCTTCGTGTCGCTCGGTTAAACGGGAAAGAGCCGCCGGCCGGTGCTTGCCGGGCCCCGGCAGGTCGGTCCCGCTGCAGGGCCCTGCGCCCTCGGAGCTGCTTCCCAGCAGCCTTTTCTGTACACTGGTCAGATTTTGGGTGCTGTCCACCCTTAGGGCCTTCTCCCCGTGGCGGGCTGTAGGCCTCAGTGAAGCTTCGTGGTTTACACTGGCTTTGGAAAGGTTTTTGAAAGCATGTGCCCCAAATCTTGTTAATGTTGCCGTTTCTGAATAATTAACTTAGAAGTGCCTTGAACTTCTCTACCATCGTTGTTACCTTTCTTCTGACAAAGCGGTCATGTGCCTGGTCTCACTGGCCTAAAAACCTTAAAGGTATGGGTATGAGCCTACAATCTTTCCCTGCTCTGGCTTCATACCCCATCAGAGAGCAGAGCTAACACAAAACTGCAGCTTCTTCAGGATGCCTCTGCTGTTCTAAGTGTATAGGTCATGGATAACAGTACTGGCTGCAGTTTATTGGAGATCAGCAGTCAAAAAAGTGTTCCTTTCCCACTCTATTATGGATAAATTGAAGGTCATTGCTGAAGGAGCAGAGCTTCTCCTGCCTGCTTGTGTTCTCCACGTGAAGCACTGGTCAGTTAAATTAAGCTGACTGGTTCACCATCAGTTCAGCATAGTTTGAAAATAGTTTGGAAGAGTCAGGTTACTTACGAACACTGAAGCTGAGGTGTCTGCCTGCTACACACTTCCTAAAGCCCACGACAGATGTGTCCCTTCATTAAGGGTGGCAGCTTACTGTAAACCTGCCTCCGCCGCTGATTCAAGCTGAACTGATGAACATGTGTTTTTATTCAGCAGTTACTTTAGGAGTGTTAAAACTACCACAGATACAAAAATCTGCTGCCAGTGTAATAGACCCTGATCAGGACATCCCTGGGATACTGCAATTGGGCAGTGTGACTACAGGGTGGAAACTGCACCAGTGTTTGTAAGTGCCTGATGATCAGAGTGGCAGAGCTGGTGAAACCTCTGATGGGAATCAGTTGGGATAAAAGGCATTTTGTAGACCTGGCCTTTCTCCAGCATCTCCTCAGTATTGACACCTGTCTTTCACAACTGGCAAGTGATTCTTAAAAATAACTTTATTCTTTTCAGTGCAGTTAGCGCTTGTCATCTCGGACTGCAGCCTTCGTTCCTGGGATCTTAAGAAGCTGCTTTGTCTTGCTGAATGCTTTTCAAGTACTGTGGCAGGCTTATTTTAAAATCATACAGCCATTTAAATGCCAGTTCTGCTGTGACTGGCTTAACAGTAGATAACAACTGCAGTTTGAAACAACCAGCTAAGTGTTTATCAAGTCTTCAACTGAAATTTATCACTGCTGGACTCAAAAATCGACAAGAGAGGGATGCAGAACAGCCTCTGCTTGCCAGGTCTCCGCATCCTGTCAATGACAATGTCTTATCATGTGAAAAAGGCTTCTGAAACAGCAAGTGTGCTGACTTCTGGGATAATTTCTGAATCCTTACATTGAATATTGTAGAAAGTTGTTAACAGCCTGCATGAATATTTACTGTAGTAATTGGGGTTCTATTTTTTTAACCGGTAACTAGGACAGAGATACAGGCTTCCACAAACGTTACTGCTGGATTAAATTCTCGACCCCAAGAGAAGCTCAGAATGTGTTTCAGAAGGACTGCCACATACTTGAAGGTGCCAAGGTAACCTGCTAATTCCTTGAATGAAGTAATGAAGTAGTGAATTGAGCTCTTAACGTCCGCCTTTTGTTGGACAAAGTAGCATCAAAATACTGCTGTGTTTGTTCTAAGTGTGATGAAGCATTTTGCCACTTAGTGTGCTTTTAGTGTTTTTCAAACCAGTAACACTTTTGTTCATTCTCCCCTCTCAACTTAACTGAGAGTGAGCTCATCTAGGTATCAGAGATTACATACCAGAGATCAAGACTTCCTGCTATGCTGAGTTAAAGGAATATGAATACTGTAGAACTGGGCAGGAACTGCCACACAGCTAGTTAGTGTTTGTAGACAGGTTTCTGCAGGTGGATTCCAACATTCAGTGTGGATGTTGGGTGGCAGGGGGAAGATGACAGGTGAGGATGAGAGGAAAGTTCATGTCTTTGAACAATTAATAAGAATTCTTAAGTACCCTTCTGACAACTCGCATCTCCTTTGGAAGCTTTCAATGCTAGGGGAGGATAAGAGTAAAATGAATTGGCAAGAGTGATGCACTGTGGTGATTCTGATAAAGTATTTTGCATGACATTGTTCATACTAGAGCAGGAGTCTTCACTGGTTGCAGTTACTTCAGTAACTGTTACTAAGAGCTGAGCTGGGAGTTACAACTGTGGTGCAAAAATGGAAGCAGAAATTAGGGAGTGGTTTTCCAACTTAAGTCTTGAAGTGCACCAAGTCAGGCACTAGGTTAGACGAGCATCTGATGTCAGTTTATTGGAAATCACTTTGCTGGGTTTTATTCTTGAAGCTGTGAGATGCCACATTCACTTAGCTACCTAGACATTGAGGTGTATACTCTCACAAGAGGCGCAACAGCTAAGAGGCTTCTTTCTAGCAAAATAAAAAGCAGAAGGCAAGCGGTAGTTAGCCTTCTTCATGTCTTCAAAATACAGGCTTCTCTAGAAGAAGATAAATGAGCACTTCTCCCACTTTGTTCTAAGCTAGGTTTAGACAGTTACCTTCTATTAGTTCCACTTGAAAGCACAAGCTTTTAAGAAGCTTTTGCTGATACAACTACCAATTGCTGTTCAAATTACATTCAGCTTTCCTGTCAGGAGCTTAGTCTTTGTGGTTCTGGCTCATGAAACTGAACCAGTTATAAACCCATCTTCTGCTTTCCATATGAATGTTTTAGAAGGTCAGAAATGAAAAAACGCTAAACCTTCTTGCCAAGCTAATTCATATACTTGCTATTGTTTTTCAGCTCACTCTCAGACCGCAGTCCCGTAGAAGACGCAGTCAAAGAAGGAGTCAGAGTGACTGAGCGGTGGAAGGAGGCTTTATTTCACTAAATGTAAAGAAACTAAAATAAAGAATAGTGAGAAACTATGAATATTTGTTCTAAAACAGAATCCAGCTGTTTCCCCTCCTTGTTCAAATAAACTGTGTATCGCCACGCTAGAGAAACACTAAATCATAAACAGCCTACCACCCATTACAGCATAAGACAGTAACTATATACAGATGAAGTAAAAGCTTTAGGTACCTATAAAAACTAAAGCTGTAGGAAGGGGCTACATTCTTACCCTGAGATGCTGGGCAATAGGGAATCAGTAAAGTCAGAACACTTCCTAAAGCATAATTCCCCTGTGAAATGTTTGAAAGTGGTCTCCATGCCTCCATTCCCAAGGGGTAGCTGTCCTATGTAGAGAAGAATTAGCGTGTGTATATATACATCCACACAACAAGGGTTGTGAAATGGGGGGTTACAACACCATTCCCCTATAAACCTCTGATTAAAAATGCCTTTTGGGTGAAGTCCAAGTTTGTATGTAGTCCATTTCTCTACCTCTCAAGGAACAAAGGCATTCAGTCCTTCCTCCTCTTTTTGCTCTCATGCTCATGTTCTTTAGGGCGGCTGCTATCTGATGGCCGTTTAGATCCACCATGTTGCTTAGCTTCTTCCAAAAACTTGTCCAAACCAAAGGGATCCTCCTCAAATTGAACTGGTCCATCTCTGCCCCTTCCTCTGGCATTACGATCGGAGTTAGAAAACTCCTTGTCAGGAACAAACCTGCAGGAGAAGTGGTGAAACTCAGCTGACTGACTTCAGAGTACTAATCAAGAGTATTTCTTAACTTTATTTTCTTACCTGTTGGTTTTTATCCGAGCCTCTAGATCATCACCATATATGTCCTTATCCACATTTTTACTGGGCCTGTAGATGTTTTGGGCCATATCCTTGCCACTTCTCCAAGGCTGGTCATAAACATTATAAATTTCATCCTCTCCACCAGCAAAGCCACTGTCCATACCCTGCGAAGAAAGAACAGCAGTATGACACAAATGAGTCTGAAAAACTTAGCTACTTTAACATCAAGATACACTGGTGGGGTCTCACAGATACACAAAGATGGTATTGTGCGATTTACCATCCATTTCAAATGAGTTCAAGCACTTCATCAGGGTATAAGTGGTTTTGGGCCTGGGATTAAGTCCAAAGAACATGCTACAGTCATTCCAAGCCTGAGTCAGGGCCACTTCTACTCTGACAGAAAGCAACAGGGAGCATTACAGGCCATTCGTATTTCAGGTTAATGGATCATTTAAGTCTGCCCTGCAAGTACAGCTGTCTGTAAGAGGCAAGTGCAACCATACAGAAATGTGTAGTATTCAGAATTTCTGGAAAACATGATTTAAGCTGATTGATCCAAATCACACAGAGGCTTGTGTGAACTGGGAAATCAGAAGTGCCTGCTTGTTCACTTTTGATTCATCAGCTTTCCCTTCTGCCTGCAGGTCTTTCACTGGAGGCATGAAAGAGAATGATTGACAAACTGCAGGTCTATTCAAGGACTTTCTGAAGCCTAATCTGCTTTTTCATCTCTGAATAGTACAAGGTTCAGGGAAAATAAACGTTGCTGTTAACTATTTATATCTTTAGAAGGTTTTTTAACATAAGTATTAATGGAAACAGAATGCATTTAGCTGCTTCTCTCCAAGAGCAGATTTCCCTCAGTCAGTACATGTGTACAAAAGAAGAAAATGAGGTCACTGCGGCTTGAAAGCAAAATATTTCCTTTCTCCCCACTCCCCAGTAAGAAACCACAACAAAAAACTTTAATCCAGTCATACATTCAGAATACTGCATTTCTGTTGCATCAGCCATGGATAAAGGAGAGCAACAAGATTCCTAACCAGTTACGTAGAGACTTCTTTCAGAACATATCCACACCAACCATAAGAACAGGGTCTCTTCAGTATTCTAACCACGTTCACTAAGGAAGGGTGAGCATGTTCTCACATGAAACCACACAGCTGTGCAAAGGTGTTTTTACCTTGCTCTGGTTGAACAGCCTCTGGTCGTACTGGATTTCATTGGATGGCCTGGGGTTGGGTATCCCCAGGGCAATAACTTCACTGATATCTCTGTTCTCATTTCTCTGCAGCTTTGACCTGAATTAAAAATTTTAGGTTTCGTTAGGTCAGTAAACTGTGTCTGTGGACACACTCAACTGCAGCCTGATCCTGTGCTACTTGCTAACAGTTTGCCTCAGAAGCCAGATTTTGACTGTTGCCCTTCCTCACTAGGTAACATTTAAAATCTGTCTCCTGGCAAAGGAAACATTTAGGGAAGTTATGTGCAGCTGGGCATGACATTTAAATTTGCTTTCTGCTATCTGCAATTTACATCAAGCTGACTTGGTCTAAAATGTCATATTTATTTTTTGCAAGAACCAGTGTAATTATATTCTGGGAAGGCTGAGCAATCTCAACTGTAAGATACTGGGGACTGTAAGCCTCCAGAAACCATTTGTGCTTGGAAATCTCACTGGCCTGGGCAAACGAGATAGTTCAGCCTACACTCATAAATCCAAGCTCGCTTCAAGTGAACAGCTTCCAGAAACAAAGCCATTAATGAGACCCTGGTCTCACTGAAGTTATAAGATCAAGGTTTCAACCTTTGCTGTTGAGGTTAATTAAACTTGAATATACTGAAGTTCTGCTCAAGGAAAAAAACCACCTCTCCCTCCCCACATCTGGAAAACTAAATTTAGAAGCAAGTACTGCAGCACGCTAACACAGTGATGCATTTCATACAGGGGCCAAACAGCCCTTCATACCAGTGAGTAACTCCACAAGGTAAAATTCAGGCACTCGCACCAAGCAAAAGGACAGCCAGTGCAATGGTTTCCCTAGAGGGGAAGCCAGAGCCAGTACAGAATAAAGCAGCTTTCTTCTGTTACTCACCTTTTGTCAGGGGCTGCCCTGGAAAGGTTTCTGTCATGCTGTCTCTCTTTGCGCCGGTCATGTCTGATTTCATCTCTTTCTCTAGCTTCTCCATCCTCTGAACAAACACAAGATTGCTCGTTATACACAAGTACCTGAAGTTTGAATTAACTCTGCCACAGTGAGTCAATTCAGTGCTCTTCTACAGAACAGAAGTGACCTTTAGCACTGTCTAAAATGTTACACTTTCACTGGACTGAACACATGGAAAATCACAGCCTTCTTGTGCCAGAACCAATCAGCTGTCCTTGACAAAAGAGTTAAAGCAGACATATCCAACAGCTATGTTTTGTCAACTATCAAGAGCTGAGAATACTTGGCCATCCTACAGATCATCATATCATACTTTAATCTTTTAAGTGCAAAAATATAGTTCAAGTACCCAGGCATCTAAGTGCTCTGTGGAACACTGTGACTCAGTATTAGAGAATCACTTGGGTCAGAAGGGAGTCTCTAGTTCAACTTCCTGCTCAAAGCAGGATCAATGCTGGATTCAAACCAAGCTGCTCAGGTCTTTTCCCACTCAGGTGAGGAAAAGCTCCAAGGATACAGAGTGACAGTCTCCCTTGGCAACCTGCTCCACTGCTGCTTGTCCTCATGGTGAAAGTTTTCTCCTCACACACAGCTGGAACCTCCTGCTTCAACTTTTGATTCCTGTCTCATTCTTAGTGAAGAGCCCTGATGATCTCCTTGTAGACAGGGGAAACCTCCAATTTGGTGCTCCCAAACCCACAGTTTCTGTCAGAACAAGCTTCATTCTCTCCGCATCTCCTGACTAGGGAGACACTGTAGCCCCCTGGCCATTCTGATGGCCCTCCACTGAACTCCAGCCTATCCAACCGCAGTTTGTACCTGGGACCTATAACTGCACCCACTATTCCAGAGACAGTCTAACAAGCAAATTATTACTTCCCTTGACCTGGCACACTGCTCTTCTTCTGCAACAAGCTTTTTCTAAATAAAAACCCGATACTTTAGGCTAGCTATGAAAGCCAGTACTTGCACTGATCCATTAACAACTGAAATTCTCAACAATGTCCCAAACTTGCATACACCAACATGCTGCTGCAAGGTTCAAATCCAGATTCCATCAAACCAGCCAGTGAATTAAGAAAATTCCCTGGCTGATCAAGTAAAGACATTAAGAACCAATGTCATGCTCAATTAACAGTTGATACTTAGGTATTATAAGTTCTCAGGTTATTTCTCCAAACCCACACTTCGGAGAGTGCTAAAACACCCCACAGCATCTTAATAATAAACGTACCTTTTTCAACATGGGTTTTGATCCCTGCTCTTCTCTCCCTGGCCTTCTGAGCCATTTCTCGGAGCTTTTCCTCATGTTTCTCCTTTTCTTTCTGAGCCATCTTCCTCTCCACCTGGGCACGCATCTCTACTGCCTCACGAGCCTGCACACATATGACAAAGTTATAAAGACAGAAAGCTAGCACCTGGGATGCAGCAGATCTTGTGTCATGGATTTAACCAGCAAAGAGGACAGGAATCAAGCCACAAAGAGGAAATTCAAACCCAGAGAGCCACAACAGACAGAGCTGAGAAACAAGACCCATGATCTCCAATAATTTCAGCCACACTGAGCCATTCAAAGATAATGGGGATAACACTTTTTGTCCTGCTTCTTGGCTACCTTAAGACATAAAAGCCTATTCACAATTGATTTTCCCAAGAAAATAAAACATAAAAAGAAGGTAAAACCACATGGAACAGAACATTTAAACAACAACCTGACCTTTCTGTCAGCTATATAGAGAGCCTCAGCAAGCTTGGCAAAGTTTTCATTAATATGAACAGTCTGCAATCCTCTGCCATCTGCAGCCAGACGCTTATCTAGTGGAATGGTGTAACCCTACAGTGGAAACAGAGACAGTTAATAACGGAAACCAACATTATTTCCAATAACAGACATTATTACATTTACTGTATAAGAAAACAAAACCACACATCAAACAGCCCACCATTAATATGCCTCAATGGACCTCTTTCATATTTACTTCATACCACGTAATTAATAAGTCATTCCAGATAATATTAAGCTTTGCTCCAATTCCACATTTCCCCCAAATCTGAATCACAATTTC